TCAAACAACAGGTGATCTGACCTGTCATCTTTTCTGAAAGAGCTAAAAACAGTTAGCCTAAAATTCAGCCTTCCTATGAATTGCTTAGTTTTCTGTGAAAATGTTAGTTTCTATTTTTGACTTACTTTTGACAGAGTGAAGAACATGAGATTTTTTTCAAGAGAAGCACAGCCTCCTCTTTGACAACAGCAAAATAAATAAATAAATGAAAGAAAGAAAGAACCATATTTCCTCAAAAGATATGCACATTGAAATGACAAAAGGTTTCCTTTATTGTGCACTTTACTACAAGTTGTAATTACATATGTATTTTTAGGAAGATAATCAATCTGTCCATCCTTCTAACCAACCATCCATCCATCTATCCATTATCTTCAGCAATAATCCCTAACCCAAATTTGTGTTTTTCTTTCTTGCGTGTATTTTTATAAATGTATACATAGATATTTATAAATAATGCATAGCATCAATTGGCATTTTCTACTTCACAGACATATGAAGAAATGTGACCATACAATCTCACGGTTTATTTCTTTTAATCATTGTTTTCTCTTTCTCCATACTTCCTCCTGCCACTGATTTCTTCTTTCTCAAGTTCACCATGATTATATATATACACAAACTATATATATATATATACACACACACAAAGTCTGTAGTAAGTCTAAGAATGTTTCCTTAGATACTGATTCTTTTATTTGCATGGGATAGATTCTAAGGAGGTTATGTATTTTTTTTCAATAATAAAAGGGATTCATGAAAAATGGGTAAGTATCCTTTTCCCCATATCTTCACTTTCAAAATTATTGTCCTTCCAGTCTGTTAAGTATAAATTATTATATCATTACTATTTTAATTTCATTTCCCTCCTCACTGCTACTTACGTGAAGCACATTTTCATACCTTAACTTTATATGATTGGCCCTTCTATCCTTTACCCATTTTTCATATAGGATTTTGTTATCTTATCAATTTTGAAAGAACTCTTCCTATATGATAAACATCGATGGGGTTCAGGACAAGCTACCTCAAAAATATGGTACCTTGGCATACTGAATATTTTTTAAACTGAAGGAATTTGAGAAACAGCACATGCAGGAAGAACTTTCTGACCTTTCCTTAAAGCAGGTCATAAGACCCTCATGCGAGAGAGGTGCTCCCTACACCCAAAGGAAGGAAACCTTCTTATCTCTAAAAATGAAGAGACTAGAGGCATCTGATTAAATGCGGCTTGCAAAATTTTCCCCAGGTGACTTAGCTCATACCCTTTGTCTTATTATAGTTTTCCATAACTTTCCACTCTTCATCAGATCTAATATAAAAATGATCTGGTTTAGCTGTGTCTTTGAGTCCTCATTTCCTTATGAAGTCTCCTGTGTCATGTAAAATTTGAATTTATATGCTTTTCTCTTGTTAATCTGTCTTCTATCAGGGATCCCAGCTGAGAACTTAGAAGGGTAGAGAAAAGAGATATTTTTCCTCCTCTGTAATATTAATCCTTTTCCTATCTTTTATGCTACCAATATTTCTTTTCTAAGTTAACTGTTTCGAAATTTTACCATACTACTTTTGCCATATATTTTTAAATTTTTTATATAAATAGATATTTCTATTATTTACTTTTATAGATTTGTGATTTCTCATCTCAACTAAGACAGTTTCCTACCCTTAGACTGTGTGTATATATATGTATATACATAATCTCTTCAATTTTCTTATAGGGATTTTATTTTCAATTTTTCATACATTTTTACTCTATCAGGAAGTTATTTTTGAATCTGAATTATAATAGGGATCCATTTTATTTTCTTCAAGTTTGACAGGCATTATACCAACACCATTTATTTAATAATGCACTATTTTCTCAATGAATTAAAATATCTTTATCTTCTACTAAATCCTTTTATATAGTAAATCCATATCTGGATTCTCTCCTCCACTAATCTACTTGCCTTTTCTTATGCCAATACCATATTGATTTCATTATGGTAACTTTATAGCATGATCCGAAATCTGGTAAGGCAAGTTCTTCTCATTTTTTTCTTTTTCTCAAAAGACCTTGTCACTTCCCCCATATATACTCAAGAGTATATTATCCAAATTAAAAAGCACACACACACATCAGTTAAGGTGAAATCAATTAAGACACTTCCTGGAAGTACAATAAATGCATATATGAATTTGGGGAAAACTGGCTTTTTAATAATTCTAATCCATTTTACCCCCAAACAAATATGTTTTCTTTTTCGTTCAGATCTTGTATGTCTTTCAATAAAATTATATAGAATATATATATATATATAACTATCTTTACTTGGAAATATGTCTTTCTTGTTAAATTATTAAATATTTATATAGTTTAAGGTACTTTTAAGAATGGAATATTTTTTCCCATTTCCTTTTCTAGGTAAATACTATTTGAGTAGATTTTACTTGTTTATCTAACCATCTTATTGTATCATCTTAGTAATTTTATAAGTCCTTTTGGGTTTTTAAGTACTGAGTCAAATCATTATAACAAAGAGACTATTTTAACCTTTTGTTTTAGTTTCTTAATTACATCTGCTAGACTTTCCAAAATATTGATTAAAATACTTATAGAAGTTAATCCATACTTACAACCTGATTCTGACTTAGATTGTTACAGTATTTCACCTTTTGGGAAAATAATTGCCATTTGTCCTTGGTTAATAGGATATGTGTATTTAAGCAGTTTATTTATATTTCCTTTTAACTCAGAGATTTTAATAAGAATAGCTAGTTGATAATTGTGATGCTTATCAACCATTGATTGACTGATATGGAGCCATCCCTGTATTCCTGTATAAAATCCTAATAGGTCATAGGTATCACTCTTTTAATTAAATAATTAAATAATGTGTGAATTAGATATGCTATTATACTTTGAATTTTGCATTTATATCTTCAGTGATGTTGGACTTTTCTTTTTTCTTACATACTAGCAGGATTAGGCATTAAAAAGATGCTGGATTCAGTATACAGTGAACTTTAACAGCTTTCCATATTTACCATGATCAGGTAAATTCTTTCCTACTATTTAAGAGCTAGATAACAATTGCAAATCTGGTCATAGTGCATTTTTCTATGTACTTTAGTTACCTTTCTAATCTCTTTTATGATAATAAATTATGGAAGTTTTATAATTATTGAGTCAATTTTAATAATTTATATTTTGCTAGGACATAATTCACTGCATCTAGGTTTTACATGTTGCCACAGAATTGCAGTTATAATATCTTATAATTTATCTTGTCTATGACTGGGTCTTCTCTCTCAATCTTAATCATTATATTTTTGCTCTCTGTTTCCTTTAACAATCAGGCTGAAAAGGGATTTTGTCATTTTCAAAGAATGATCACTTGGGATATTTTTATCCTTTATCCTTTCTTTGTTTTCATTTTCTTTGATTTGAGCTGTTACCTGTATTAACTCCTCCTTCCTGCTTTAATTGATTTATTTCATTACTCTTTAATTAATTTATTAAATCAGGCAAAAGAATTATTTTGAACTAAAGAAGTTTCAGTAAGATTTGAGATAAGTAGTATAGTTTAATAAAATGAGATTATTCGGTAATGGGTAAAATACATCTCAAATCTGTCTCTATTAAGAGATGTATGTCTTTTAGCAAATCATTTAATATATGTAGCTAATAGTTTCCACATCTGTAAACTGAAAAGAGAATACAGAGTCTCAAGATTCCTGTTAGGTAAAAAATTGCACCTGATAAAACTGATAAATTATAAGCTCATTTGAGAAAGTATGGTGTTTGAAGGAATGAGAGACCTTGGGAATCACTGCCTTCAGAAACAATAACATCTAAGAAAAAATCAATTTTTTCTATGATAGTGAAATTTAATGGAGACTTATACACATTCTATAAATGTACAGGTCATAATCAAGTGAACTCCTAAGATGTTTCACAAATATGAATGCCCTAGTACAAGATCTTTTTAAAGAAGGTGCATCTAAGTTGGATTGCTTAAAATGACAGAAAGATTTAAAGAAAAAAGTTAGTACCAGGTCATAAAACTACATCCTCATATTTTCTTATAAAAAAAGAACCTAATGTTAAATCGTTTTTAGGTACCCCATAAACCCTGTGATCTTCCTAACAAAAACCTTCGTATGCTTATTTACATTTTTATTGGGAGAATTCATCACACTGATAGATTTACAAAGAGTCTGGGGCCTGAGAGAAGCTGAAAAACTATTCTTAGATTAGTAATCCAACTTTCTACCTTTAGTCTGTGATTAAACCTTCCTATGGTCATAGTTCTGCTACTTCATGAAAGAAATCTTTCTATTGTTGGACAGTTACAACTAGTAAAAAACTCTAGTTCACATCAACTCAAAATTTAGCTCTAAAATTTTCATCTATTTTGTTGATTTCAGTCTCTGGAGCTTGAGAGAACAGAACAAGTCCCCATTCCAAAAAATAACCCTTTACATATTTGGAAATAATCATCTTAATTTTCAAGATGTTTTTCTTATTCAGGCTGATGGCTTTTAAACAATACAGCATAAGGATGTAACTTACTAATTCGGATTTTTTCTTTAAAGGAAGATGCTTTTACCACTCAGGAAGATAATATTTTATATTTTGTAAAAGTTCTACTTCTGCAGAATTCTTACAAATTTACTCCACTAAATCTGTGGCAACTGTAACTCATAAAATACTTTAAAATTATTTTTAACCTATGGGTTATTTGTCAAAATATTATTCATGGGTGGATTTCAACACATCTTCAAATTTTAGCCAAAAATCACTTTTGTATTAATATTTACTAATTCACAAGGGATAAATGTAGTAATATTATTTTAAGTGGTTCTAAAAATACCATGTACATTAATTCTTTTGCAGAAAAAAGGGCAGAAATACTTAGTGAAGCACATCCAATAAAAGAGGACAAATTCCAAGATGGTAAACCAAACTCTGTAAAAGCACCAAAATGAAACAATTATACAAGAGCATTACTTACGGATAGAATTTTGAAAGCTGTTCAGCTATTGCATAAGCTGCTGGGTCTCTGTCTAAGGCATACAGAGTAATATCTGACTCCTTCTGCAAGATGGCTTTTGTATGTCCTCCTGAACCAAATGTCATATCTAGAAAACACTAGCCAACACAGAAAAAGAAAATTACCACTTAGCATGAACAAAATTTACTCTTGCCAGCTACCTCAATTTCTAGACACACATAATCCTATTCAGAGCTGACAACAAACAGGAAAACCATTACAGCTGTTTTGCCTAGAGTTTGTTTGTTATACACGAGATGTGAATCAATTATGAATGATCAATCCAAGAGAATCCGTCAGATTATCACAAAATGATAATCTCCGGCACAAGCTGGGCAATTCAAGACAAAATTTACATTTCCCTCCATAAGGTCAAACTGGCCACAGTGTTGTGTTGTTAGCTTTTTAATAATGCTTTCAAGCACCTGGCTAATAATATTTCCAACAATTTCTCATCATTTGGAGGTAGTTTACAATTAGTGTGGCTGAATTATCTCAAGTTCTCTAAATGCTTAACATTAAACATAAAGATATTCAAAAATACAGAGAGAGCTAGAGCGTGTGTGCACAAGAGAGATTATACCTAACAATAGTCCCAGGACAGGACTTTAAAAATCTAACCTGAAAAAATAGACAAATTAACAAATCAGAACTGGAAAAAGCCCAAGGCTTAAGGTAAAACACCTGGGGTAAATTCTAGCTCTGCCACTAAGCAGCTACGGAACTTAGGAAAGGTCACGTAAAATTCTAGTGTCTTTAGACTTCTCCAGAGTTTAAAAAGAAAAAGAAGGTCTGGAAGATACCCAGGTGACATACAATTTCTCATCTAAATCGAGACACTTTTGAGAGGGAAAGATTTGCCAGGACAACAGGATATGATGTTTGAGAATATGTATATTTAAGTGCCTAGATCACTCTAGATACAAAATAAACTTAATTGGATCTGAATCTATTTCTCGGCTATATCATTTGGCCACACTATTTTAAAAAAATAGGTCACATTTGAGCAAGAAACCAGACCTGGACCATGAGAAATAGATGTGTGAACAAAGCAGTTGATTGTAGCTAGTTTGGAAGTCAAGACACTCAGCACATGCCCTCAAAGTTATGCTCTTAGTTGAATGTGCCCTCTCAATAAGCTTTACTGCTCTGATGAAAATAAAAACAATTATTCCAACAACATTGAATACTATGACAAATAACACACTATAAGCCAGACTGTTAAACATATTTAAACATATAATTTTTAAAAAATTCATGTGTACATTGCACAAAGGAAATTCCTATGGTGGATGTGAACGTTTCCCTGCTCTGAATGTTATAACGTATTTCAGGGGAGAATGGTCGGAGACAAGGCACAATTGTGCTTTGATTTTTTTGTTACAGCTACCATGCTGAGTCCATCCTCTGATCAGGTCCTCAGAAAAGTTAGCCTGTTATTCAAAGAATAATATGGGAGAAAATCTTCTGATCAAAAGTGAGAAGAGAAGGGATGTAAAATAAAGGAGAGATGTAAATGTGGTAAAAATGGACAAGCACTGCTTTTTAACATAAATGTGTTAGCATAACTTAACCTTGCACTTCTATCACTGTCAGCACAAAAGTTATGGCTACACATATTTTTTACCTTTTTAAGCAGTAACTTTAAAACAACATTTAAGGTCTTATTATTTGTATGGATGTTAGGAGTACATTCTCAAGATCAAAAAATTTCTTTTCCTGGTCTATACACTTATTTTATGCATCTATGAGCAGGTAAAAACTCTTCCACCATAGCTTACCTTAGTTTTAAAATTGCTAGAGGCTTAGCCTAATTTAAATAAAGAACTTTGCCAGGCAAAACTATAAACCACTTTCTTGTTATGCCTCAATTGTATAACCCTGGATTTAAACTAAGAGTATATCAAATAAAATAATTTACATATGATTACCTTATCCCAAGCCAGGAAAGTCCCAATCAATATTCAAAAAGAAAAATCCTCATTATTAAAAATATTCTGGAAAATATGAGATGATGATTATAATTTAGATGATTATTTTTTATATATCATGATTATGACCTTGGAAATGTACTGACAATCAAGGAAGTTTCCATTGGAAAAAAATAATCTACTATTACCAGTCAGGTGGAACACAAAGCAAAAAGTGGGAAACAAATGGGATTTATGAAACTAGAAGTGAACCCCACCAAATGTCCCAGGTTAATAGGTGATTAGAGCCATCGATTTTCAGTTTTTAAATTCTAATATACACTGCCCATCGAATATAGTAAGAGACCTCTAGGCCTTGTGAGTCACTCAGCACTGCAACTGAAAGGGAGCCAATTAGGGTTTCCTTTCTCCTGGGTCATTAACTTGACATAAGAGCATATCTTTTAATTTGTACAAGTTGATAATAAAACAAGGAACTGGACAAATTTTTTGTTTAACAAAAGCATAATAATAAATAAATCTGAATGTTTTGAAACAATCCTTTTATGAGTCTCAACTATGCATATATTCAAATGTATAGCTTATGCTCCAACTACATATGGAACTCTTTCTTTGAAATTATCTGATATAATTCATCTAAAAAGCCAAACTCATATTTGATACGAAGAGATTTTTCTGGTAATTTCACTTATCACTTGTATAACCCTGTCCAACTCAGTTTAATTCTCTGAGCTTCGGATGCTTTGCCTAAGAAATGGGGATAAAATATGACCCTGTTTACCTGAGAGGTTTATAAAGATTATCTTATTTCTTCCTTATAACCACCTACACAGAATTTTACCTACACAGAAACTATGATTACACTAAGCTAGTAAGTGGCAAAGGCAGGAATTGAATACAGGTGTATCGGGCTCTAAAACCTGTGTTCTTTCTGACACCACTCTGCCTCTGCATTACATCGATAAAGCCTATATTTGCACACTGCTTTATGGTTTCCAAGCATTAATGTTTTCCTACTTGGTCTATCAAAAGCTCTGTAAGAGCATATGAACAAATGGCATTATCCCCATTTTTACAAATAGAAAAATCAGATGCAGAGAGATAATGTGCCTTAAAAGATCGTATTACTAGTAAGTGAGGGAAAGAGAATTCTAAACAAGGTCTCACCAACTCTGAATTCTGAGCTCTTCCTGAAAAAAAATGAAAGAGAAGAGGGGAGGGAAGGAGTGAAAGAAAAAAATAAGAAAACAAAGTGGATGGTATAAGAAAGAATCATGGCAGAGATGGCTTTACAAAAATTATGCAAGAAAAGTTTAATGTTTTATATATGACTCATTCCCATTGGAATTTAGGCTCTTGAAAACCAAGTTCTTTCTTTATCTTTATGCAGCAGGTTAACGCTTGAGATATGTATGTATGTCTCTCTCTTCCTCTTCTCTTTTAAGCAGCTGCCTAGGTATTCAGAGCTTTAGAATGTATATTCCTTGAGGATTTTTGCATATTGAAAGAAAAAAAAACTTTCTATCTTTCCTGTCGTTTGAAAACAATCACTTTTGTACCTTTTAGTTACAAAACAACAACAAAGTTCAGAAAGAGAGAATGCTAGTTACTCTGGGTAGGTGGTGTCTTTAAGGAAAAGAGAGATTTCTTTGAAATTGGGTAAAAGAGAAAAGGAAAACATGAACAAATTCCAGAAAGGTGTAGGACCAGTGAAGTGACTGGCAGGTGATAAGATCTCAGAACAGCTGGCTAGATGATGAACTAAAGGAGGATGGACGCTCAATCATGGGATTCCCAGTGCTACCAGAGATTTCCATCCTCTCTGTAATACAGAAGTAGAAGCTTTGGTCGTAGAGGGTCTAAACAGGTTAAAACAAAAGGCATCTTAGGGTAACTAAGTGTGGCATGAGGTGAGTAAGAAGATGCAGGGCCTCTGCATAGCTCTGGATGGTGTGTGGGGTCTGGGGGACAAGTGAATTGATGATTTCTCAGCACAGGGACACTGGGGATCAGAATCAAAATGAAAGGGATTTAAAGGGAAAAAAAATCCTATAATTTGAGGAAGAGAATTCATCACAATTCTCCAACTTTGCCTCCAGTTTAATATGGTAGTAGGTGTTAAGTATATATTTAATGATGTGATATAAAAAATGAGCTCAGCCTCCCAATGGAACTACGATAAACACAGCAACACTCATTTGTGCACATGAATTCAGAAATACTCCTCAACATATAAGACTCATTATGATAAGATCACATAAAATAGTCATAAGATACCCAACTTTTAAATCATTCAATATCAATGTATTCCTAATATCACCAACTGTCATTAGTGAAGAGAACTTTTTCAGAACATTAATAATGATCTATAATTATATAAATCTATAGCATCATGTTTTTATTTGCTGATCAGTCTCCTTTACATTTGAAATAAGAAGATGAACATCTCTTATTTTAGGTTAGCTCTTTTAATCAAAACAACTAAATGACATTTTATTCCCATGGTCTTCTAAATATCATAGAAAGGATTAGATTCTACTTTTCCCCAAGATGAGTCACACTTGAATAGCTGAGCTACGGCTGTGGATCTGATATGGACAGGGTACAGACACAGACTTTCAGAGCTCAGAGGGATATAGCAGACTATGCCACCTCCTCATTTCACTTATTAGGAGACCTAGGCCGAAAGAGGGTAGGAGGTAACTAGTTGAGGGCAAAGCTAATATTAAAACCCAGATCTCAGCTCCTTCCACTTCAACTTATAATACTCCCCCATAATAATCACACTGAAAAGAAATACCCAATTATTCTTTGAAAATGTATTTTTTTCTTGATACAAAGATAGATACAAGAGGGAACTCTGCACCTTAAGCCTCTAACACAGCTAAAAGCAGTCACTGTTCTACCATTTTAACTTTCTTAAGACTTTATGATGATAAATCTGTTGAATTAAATTCCAAAGACAATTATGTTTCATATGTGGGCTAGAAAAAAAATGTCTGTCCACTATGTGTAACAACAACTGGTGAAGACTCCCTTCTTAAGTTACAGTTCTCAAATTGATCTTGAAATTAAAAACAAAAAACACTTAAAATCATAGATTCATGGATGATTCAACCTAGAAGTACCCACAGAAATAACCCAAGTTTAATTCCATCATTACATAC